TTTTGAATATAAAAATTATTTAAATAACAGAAAAGATGCTTTAAAGATTAAACTAAAACTGCCAGCAGGTGGGGTCAAGTCACTGGTTTTATCACTGAATCATTCATTCAATTGATTCGTTCGAACAGCTGAATCATTCAGGAATGAAGTACGTGACTGTCTTTATGAATGGGTAACTGAATCATTGACTCACTAGATTCGTTTAAAAACGCAGTTCATTCATAAACGAATCACCGCTGTGTTTGAATGGCGATGCGCAGCGGCTGAGCTGTGACTTAAAAAAAAACTATTTTCGTTGATGAAATAGAGCAAAATAAGGCAATTGTGTTGTTGTCAGACAATATAAGTCACTTAATATTAACTTCTTGTTTAATGAACTGTTGTATTAAATCAATATCAAATTTGCAAACTCACAAAACTCCATTATAATCGACGAAGCTCTCCACACTGCACAATGAATCTCTTATTTACACCCTGTCTACACTGTGTTTGTTATAATGAGAGGATATGTCTGTGATGCATTACTCAACGCTGCAGAAACTCGTATATTAGAACCTTTGAAGCTCCCTCAGCGCAAACACAAATATGCTGACCGGGTCAGCCGCACAGGTGCTCCTAAATATTATTTCATAGTCGCACGCAATAGTTTTCAGTCGCACTGTAGAGCCCTGTAAAGCCATGTTAATTCAGCTCTTAATTTGTCATATAAAACAAAAAGTACCGATAAGAATACCGTTAAAGTACCGAATCGATAAGCAGTATCGGTAAGAGTAGTAATACCGTTAAAACCTTAACGATACCCATCCCTAACTATATTATAATCATGATAATTGCAGTCTTATATTTATATACACGCACATACAGTAATGTAAAAAGAAAACAATGACATTATTTATTAATTTCTATGAAGTATTCAGATGTGTTGACTTCATTCTGACTTCAAAACATTGTAATATTACCATGCAACTGTCAGTGTCACTGCAGAAAGATCTTAATTTTTAACTATGCCTTTTTCAGTATAGAACTTATAATTTATCAAATTTAATTTATTAGGTTTTTCTTTTTAATTTAGGGTGAAAGTGGCCTTCGTCTATGTTCATTATGTCAAAACATTCACCATGATCACCATGATGAGGTGAGGAGGCTCAAGTGATCCACGTGCCTCCAGTGTCCTGCTAGTGTCAACAAGTTATAAAGGCTACAAGGTTCGCGTTACCTGTTTTGGGACAGTCCTTGCCGTGTGACGATGACAGGAAAGGACACTATAATTATGATGTATGAAGGGCGATGTTGATTTGATGTAAATCCAGAATGATGAATGCCAGCTCGCGCTGCAAACTAGCTTAGCATGCTAATCAAAACAAAAAACACAACTATCAATATATAACACTGCTGACACTAACCTTATAATAAAAGCAAGCCAGCTGCTAAATTGCAGCTCAAATCGTTTTGTGATCCTTTCCTAGGCTGTGTATGAAGCTGACGAACGATAAAAAATGTAACGTTAAATTAACAACATGCTACACAATTCTATTAGCTGTTACGTGCTAGCACTTCGTGCGAGCTTTGTTGTTCTCGATGCAAAATTCATCCTTTAAAATGAATTTACTCTTTGTCTTTCGTCCTCGTTCTCGAGGCAACACGCGAAACGACCAAATTCGTGCCGAAAAAATGTATTTTTAAAAAAATAACTGACAGCGCTCAGAATCTCTCTGTACAAACTTCCGCAGGTGATGATGGAGCTGGCCTGCCAATAGCATTGTGCATGTAGATGATTGACGTGAGGAGCAGCCTATCGCAGCCCCGTCCGCCCACGAGAGGGGCGGATGTCTGTTTCTTCTTCTTCTTCCATTTTTTGGCGTGTTACATCCTGTGTGCATATCGCCACCTAATTTTGCTGTTATGCAGTCATGGTTTATTTGTTATCAATTTCTTGCTTGTTTTTGCTTTTCCAGTTCTTACACACGTATATACACAAATATTCCTACTTAAATAATTATTCGATGCTCCATCCCATTCCTTCTCCCCAGGCTCCACCTGGCGCTGCGTGGGATGTCTGTTTCATCCACTTATTTGAAATTTGAAACTTGTGTAACACCACACAGACATCATTGTTAGAAATACAGTTCATTTAGTGATTTCATGATTTAAAATGACCATTAAATATCAGCACAGGTCTCATTTCCGTTTCCGTTTTATTTCAAGTTTCCATATTTCCCAGACTCGCTTAACGTAACAGCTTGGGTGTAGTAGGCCTACCAGAGGCTGCCTCTTTTTTATTTACATATACTGCATTAACTGAAAATAGTATTTTTCTTCTAATGTTTGTAGCATTATATGTAGCAATAAATGGTGCATAATTTAGAGGTGAATATTGTTTAGTGCAAAAAAGACTCTATGTAATGTAACGTCCAAATCTATCTACAATATAATGCTGGATTCCAATCACTGCACCCAAACCCGGAAGATACTCTGAGTTTAAGTTAACCAATATGCAGTAGCCTTCAACAGTTAGCTCTGGTCCTCAAATCTGTTTGGACAAGAGGTACAGTGGGTACGGAAAGTATTCAGACCCCCTTAAATTTTTCACTCTTTGTTATATTGCAGCCATTTGCTAAAATAATTTAAGTTAATTTTTTTTTTTTCATCCACTTATTTGAAATTTGAAACTTGTGTAACACCACACAGACATCATTGTTAGAAATACAGTTCATTTAGTGATTTCATGATTTAAAATGACCATTAAATATCAGCACAGGTCTCATTTCCGTTCACGTTTTATTTCAAGTTTCCATATTTCCCAGACTCGCTTAACGTAACAGCTTGGGTGTAGTAGGCCTACCAGAGGCTGCCTCTTTTTTATTTACATATACTGCATTAACTGAAAATAGTATTTTTCTTCTAATGTTTGTATCATTATATGTAGCAATAAATGATGCATAATTTAGAGGTGAATATTGTTTAGTGCAAAAAATAATATGTAATGTAACGTCCAAATCTATCTACAATATAACGCTGGATTCCAATCACTGCACCCAAACCCGGAAGATACTCTGAGTTTAAGTTAACCAATATACAGTAGCCTTCAACAGTTAGCTCTGGTCCTCAAATCTGTTTGGACAAGAGGTATATTCACAAGAGTGCTGATATAGAACCTGTATCAGCTGCACTGGAACTTTTCATCATTTGACCAAGTGGAAATCCAGAGCCAAATATCTATGATGGCAATAATAAATCAAGAGTTCTTTTGGAATGTCTTATAGTACCTGAAATCAGATTTAATTAATTAAGTTACATTATTTTAATGAATAAGATTAGCTTTATCTGTGTCATATCAAAATAATGTCATGAAGTAGTATTTATTAGCATCTTGTATTTTTTATCCAGTGAACACCACATTTTGTCCATATTTTAGTTAATGTTTTGCTATTTGCGCTTACTCGTTTTAAATGCATGACCTTTAAGCAGCTCATTTGATTAATTCTAACTCAATTCTTAATTGCTGAATTTAATTAACATTGCTTATAATCTGCTGGCAAGATTCTGAGTAGATATATTGTTATTTTATTTTATTTTTTTTATTTTTTTTACAGTGTAGAATTATCATTTTTATCCAGTTAAATGTTACATTTTGTTGCAGTTACAGTTGTATAACTAACTACATCTCAATATTAATATAATTAGAACTGACATAAAGAAGAGCGCATGACTTTATTTCTGTCCACCAGGATCTAATGTAGTCACCTTTTATGTTCCTAAATGACTATTCCCATAAAACTGAAAGAACGAATGTAATGGAAGTTTATAGGTTTTTATAAGATTACAGTATTAGTCATCTTTTTACAACATACCCACACAAATAAGCGGGGTACAATAAATGTCGCAATAACAAAACATTCAACTAGTCCAGTCAGATTTAGTCATCAGTAGCAAGGAACTGAATGGGAAAAAAAACCAAAACCAAAAACCTCCAAAAAGAGGAACTTCATGTCTTAGCTATCTAGTAATTTAAACATTTGACAAAACACATGTAGTTTAGATTTGACCTAAATTGCATATAAAGAAACACAGTCATTGAAACACCACAAGATTAAATGTGATGTAGCCACCCCAAATAGGTTAAACTTAATAACTAATAGTTAATTACACTCTTAAAAATAAAGGTGCTTCAAAAGGTTCTTCAAGCGATGCCATAGAAGAACCATTTTTGGCTCCACAAAGAAGCATTCAGTCAAAGGTTCTTTAAAGAACCATCTCTTTCTTAACTTTTTACAGTGGCGTAACTTTGCTTTGAAAAGTGGTGGGGACACCGGGCAAATATTTTGCTAGTTTTTTATTTAATAACCTAATTTACTTGGGGACTGGGTTTAGAGTTGGACAAACTTAATTTTTGCTTTTCAAAAATACATTGATGTACCAGGGGCGGCGCCAGAGAATTTTGAAGGCAGGTGCTGAGGGGGTGCTAGATCATTGACAGGGAGCTGGGCAATTCAGGGCTCCAGACTCATTCTTCCCACTGCTTGCTCTTTTGCAATTAACTTTCTCAGTTGGCTGCACAAGCACGTTTTTTTTTTTTTGCGCTACAACATGCTGTTAATCAATGCATGCTGATGAACTTTTATCGTAGTTTATAGTTATACGGAAACGAATGTAGTTAACATTCAACCTGTTCTTTTTCATCAGTAGTATTATTTGTGATTTGAATTTTGTGAACGGGAGTTCCTCTTTTGCTGTGTTATAAGCCGGGCTTCGGATGCTTTCACTTTCGATTTCACGATCTTGTCAGGTTTTACAATAAAATAGAATTGTCTGTTTAGCTTACATCTTTATAAACCTTTCACCTTTTAAGACCAAAAAAAAAAAAA